CCATTCTTCACACTTTGCTCACGTGATCAAAATTCAAGACCCCTGGCAACTGACTCACATTTATGACGGTTGCATTGTCCTTGGGTCACGTGATCCCCTTTTGCGACCTTCCCACGAGCAGCGTCCATGCGGAAGCCAGATTCCCTTAACAACCCTGGAACTAACTTTAACAAATGCAGCAATTCGCTTTACAACGGTGGTGAGAAAGGTCGTACAGTGGGGTGTGACTCACTTAATTGTCTTGCTTAACGAAAGAGATTTGGGTCTCCGTTTTGGTCCTACGCCGAGGACTACCTGTATTTTGCTAATGAGTTACTCCAGGCTTTAATTACGTTATTTTGCTTTCATGGAGGTGGATAGCTCTCAAGATACTATTTGTATTTATATTAATTATGGCTGTTTGCAAACTCTACACCTTCCTAAGGCGTTCCTTTAAATACACGTAATGTTGCCTTTGATTTGTTTTGATTCTGAATTATTGGTTTTTACTCGGGGGCCAATTGAGCCATGAACTTTATATGGCCAAGCAGGATTTTGCAACAGTTCTGTTTTTCTGTTGATCTGTACCACACCTTTGTGAAGGTGTGCAATGAAGACACGTTCTTGTTGTTGTTTATATTAAAGTCTGTCTGTGCGTCGCCTTTAGATTCCAACCGAGATCCTGTAGGACAGCTTCAAATGTTGCTCCATGTCGTTGCTTCACGTTGCCCGACATGACTTAAAGCTCTTGTTGTCCCAACTTTTGGAGAACATCAAGGTTTCTTCCCTGCTTAGCAGACTCCTCATTTTTCTTAGGTCAGTGATCCTCGACCCCTAGACCGCAGCCTGTCACCACTGGTCAGTGGCCTGGCTAGCAATGGTCCACGCAAGTGCAAAACCACCATCCTTCCCAGACCATGTGAAAATAACTCTCCATGGTATCAGTCCCCAATACCCAAAAGATTGGAGGCCACTGTCTTAGGCTAATGACACAAGGACACAGCTACTTGAGGCTTCAGTGGGTTTGGTGTTAGACAGGTGGGTGGGTGAACGGATGGACGGACAGGGATGGATGGATGAATGATAGGTAGATGATAGGTAGGTAGGTAAGTGGGTGGGTAGGTAGGTAAGTGGGTGGGTANCACAAGAAAACTCTCCTGGGCCTGCTAAGAAGTCCCAGAGAAGTCAACTTTGCCCCCAAGGATCTCTGCTGTCTGCCCTCCCAGCAGGGTCCCAGGCAGGAAAGCTGCCATGCTGTTTTGTTCTAAGGATGAACGTCCAAACGCCTCCCTCCCTGCTCTCTTGGCAGATCGTTGGCTGCCAGTTCATTGCATCCAAGCCCAACTCTGGGAGAACTTGGGGAGAAGATGATTCTGCTTCATCCACAGCCGGTCTTTGCAGGTGGGATAAACAGCAAAGGTGAGCTGCTTGGTGGTCCATCAAGGATTCTCCTTCCGTTCATGATGGGGTGGCTTTGCAAGGAGATTTGGAGCTTTAGAGGGGAGATGTCAGGAATGGAATATTCAACCCTGGGATCCCCTTTTAGGGAATCTCAGGGGTGGCCAAGTCCTTTTGCATTTTTTTGCATAATTTTTATTTATTTTTGTTGCTACTTCAAGGCCTCATTACAAACAGATTGTTGACATCTGTTTGACTCTTTACATTTCATTTTATACATAGTTAATTTTACATCATATCATTTCTAATTTCGCCTCCACATTTTCTTTCCAAGTTGCCATCTTATATTTTAATTTTTCTTAACATATAAACATAATCATTTTTTGCCCTTCCATCAATAATAGATCAACTTTGTCATTTCATTTTCCAGTTGTTGTTTCTAGTTTTATATGTAGCCTATATCATCAAATTTCATTTTAATATAATAAGCATTTCACTTAATTGGTTATCCACACTTAACCAAGTTCTTCTGCTTGATAGACCACAATTTGTAATCAACACCAATCCAGCAGCTGCTTTCTTTCTAAGCTTTATCTGCTGCTGCAAATATGGACTTCAATCTGACAAAACAGCTTCTTGGTTGAAAGTTAGGAGCCAGAAACTTACAGGTAGACATTCCAGCTTCTTTTGTTATGGGCAGACAAGGAAACTACTGAGAAGGTTACAGATTCAAGATAGTCAACCCACATAATCTGCAGGCAATCTAAGTCAACTGATGGTTGGATATTGTTATTGCAGGCAAAGGGAAATATTTGTTTGCTCAGGGTTGAAATGAAAGGTTCTCAATGATCTTGAGCTTCGTTGTTTCTTGCAGATGTTTTATGACGCAAATGATATTAGCTAGTTTGGGTTCAAGCAAGCCATGAAAGACCAGAGGATGTGGAGAGACCTGGCTCATAGAATGCCCAAAAGTCAGACACAACTGAGTGAATAACATCAACACCAGTTTGGGTAATGAAACATCTCCAAGAAAACAAACAAACTCACTGGAAAAGTAGCAGGTTTGAAAATAAACAAAGACAAAACAAAGATTNTTCTGAGGACTACAATCTCCTAGGAGAGGGTGGGGGATTTTAAAAAGCCTTGCTTTTTGTTTTTTAAATGCTTTTGGAATCAGTTTATGTTTATGGTTATTTAATTTGTATGCTGCCCCACTCCCGAGGGACTCGGGGCGGCTCACAACCAAAAAGGGGAAATGGGTACAAAATAGGACAAGACAAACAAACTAAAAGAACAACAATCGTAACATTTCAAATGGGGCTGGAAATTCATCAGCCCCAGGCCTGCCAGAAAAAACAGGTCTTCGTGGCTTTGCAGAAAGCCTGGAGGGTGATGAGGGTCCGGATCTCCATGGGGAGATCATTCCAGAGGGCTGTAGCAGCCACAGAGAAGGCCTTCCTCCGGGGATTTGCCAGCCGGCACTGGCTGGCGGATGGAATTCGGAAGAGGCCCACTCTGTGGGATCTAATCGGTCATAGGGAGGTAATTGGCAGGAGGCGGTCTCTCAAGTACCCAGGTCTGATACCATGCAGGGCTTTAAAAGTATCAACTAGCACCTTGAAGTGTGTCTGGAGACTGATAGGCAGCCAATACAGCTCGCGGAGGATAGGTGTAACGTGGGTGTACCGAGGTGCACCCACAATCACTCGCACGGCTGCATTCTGGACAAGTTGAAGTCTCCGAATACTCTTCAAGGGCAGCTCCATGTAGAGCGCATTACAGTAGTCCAGTCTTGAGGTCACAAGGGCGTGAGAGACCATTTGGAGGGCCTCCCTGTCCAGGTAGGGTCGCAATCGGTGCACCAGACCAACCTGGGCAAATGCCCCCCTGGTCACAGCTGACTGATGGTGTTCTAAAGTCAGCTGTGGGTCCAGGAGGACTCCCAAATTGCGAAGTTCTAGATCACCAGCTAAAAGCAAATTAGAAAACTGATTTCAGGTTCAAATCTGGAAATGATTCTTCTACTTTTTCCTCCCTGTTTCTCGCCATCCCCTGAATCTTGCACAAGAAAACTCTCCTGGGCCTGCTAAGAAGTCCCAGAGAAGTCAACTTTGCCCCCAAGGATCTCTGCTGTCTGCCCNGCCGCCATCTGCCAACCTTTGCACTATGCCCACCTGATGAGGAGAAAGGTTTGTATCCAGCTGTCTGTGGCCATTTGGCTCTGGGGCTTCCTACACTCGACCATCCACGTTGCCTTGGCCTCTAGGTTGGACTTTTGTGGAAACAACAATATTCCTCACATCTTTTGTGATGTTCCCCCATTACTGAAAATCGCCTGCAGTGATACCTGGGCCAACGAATTGGCCAATCACATCACCAGCCTCTTTGTAGGCCTCAGCCCCTTCCTCTTCATCATCCTGTCCTATGTCTGTATTCTGACCTCCATTCTGCGAATTCGCTCCAACACCGGCAGGCGCAAAGCCTTCTCCACTTGTGCCTCACACATAAGTGTGGTAACTCTGTTTGTTGGTAATGGAAGTATGAATTACAACCAGCCCAGTGCTGGATACTCTCTGGAGGTTGATGCTCTGATCGCCACCATGTTTTGCATCGTCACCCCCATGCTGAACCCTTTGATCTACAGCCTCCATAACAGAGAGGTGAAGGGGGCCCTGAGGAAGATCTTCAACTGCATGAAGAAAGCATAGCCCTCAACATTTGGGAGGAAGGTTTTTTAAAATATAACTTTACTACCGTTTTATAGAACATAAAGATAAAACCTAACAAACAGAAATGGCCAGAAAGAGGGATGGCTAGAAAGAATAAAGAGAAAGATATTTATTTATTTAGCTTGTCACTCATGTACAAGATAACAGGAATAAGAATAAACATGAATCAGATCACAGGAAATGGGTACAGATAAATGGGGACAGTAGGACAGGGATGTTATGCACGCTGATGTTCTACTGACCTCTTAGGAATGGGGTGAGGTCAACAGTAGACAGTCTAAGATTAAAGTCATGGGGGTTTGAGGATGTAACAACGGAGTCAGGTAGTGCATTCCAGATATTGACCACTCTGTTGCTGAAGTCCTCTTTTCTGCAATTGAGTTTGGTACATTTTACCTTGAGTTTGTATCTATTGTGTTCTCGTGTGTTATTGCGGTTGAAACTGAAGAAGTCATTGACAGGTAGGATATTGTAGCAGATAATTTTCTGTACTACGCTTAAGTCAAACCGTAGGTGGCATACTTCTAGGTTGTCCAAGCCCAAAATTTCGAATCTGGTGGCATAAGGGATCCTATTGCGAGCAGAGGAGTGGAGGACTCTTCTCGTGAAATAACTCTGGACTCGCTCAATTGTGTTAATATACAGTGTGGATTCCAGACAGACGGTCCGTATTGGAGGATTGGTCTAGCAAAGGTTTTGAATGCCCTAGTTAGCAGTACGGTGTTACTGGAAAAGAAGCTTTGCAAGATTAGGTTAACAACTCTGAATGCCTTTTTGGCAATGCTGTTACAGGGAGCTCTAGCATTAAATCGTTTGATATGAGTCCTCCAAGGTCCTTGACAGAATGGGGGTCATTTATGAGGTTGTATCCGTCTAGCTCAGTGTTTCTCAACCTTGGCCACTTGAAGATGTCCGGACTTCAACTCCCAGAATTCCCCAGCCAGCANCATCTTCAAGTTGCCAAGGTTGAGAAACACTGCTCTAACAAGTCCCAGAGAAGTCAGCTCTGCCCCAGAGGGGCGTCTGCTGTCTTCCCTCCCAGGTCTACTCCCTGCAGGATCCCAGGCAGGAATATTTGGAGGTCCATATGCCAAGACATAATTTCCCCCAAGAGCATCACATGCCATTGATAATGCAAGGAAGTACCAGACTAGCTCTGTTCTAAGGATGAACTTCCAAATGCCTCCCTTCCTGCTCTCTGGGCAGAGTGTTGGCTCTCACTCCATTGCATTGGAGCCCAACTCTGAGAGAACCTGGGGAGAGGATGAGCCTGTTTCAGCTCCATGTGGTCTTCTGCAGGTGGGATAACCAGCAAAGGTGAGTTGCTTTGTGGTCCATCAAGGATTCTCCTTCCATTTGGGATGGGGTGGCTTTGTAAGGAGATTTGAGGCTTTATGAAGGAGGGATCAGGAATGGAAGATTCAACCCTGGAATCTCCTTTTAGGGAATCTCAGAGGTGGCCAAGTTCTTCTGCTTGAGACTTACAATAGACCACAATTTGTAATCATGGCATTGTAAGGAGATTTTGACCCTTAAGAGGGAGGAAGCATGAATATTCATCTATGGGATTGTAGAGGTGGCCACGTCCTTCTGCTTAAGACTCACATTTGACCACAGTTTGGAATTGCTACCAATCCAGCCACTCCCATCCTTCGTAGGTTGAATTGCTGCTCCAAATGTGGACAATGAGTGAACAAAACAGCTCCCTGGGTAAGAGCTAGGAGCTCTCCTTTTGTTATAGGAGAGGCAAGGGAACTTTGGGGGGGGGGGGTCTAGATTCAAGATAATTAAACCAACATCTTCATGGAATACAAGTCAACATATGGATCATATGTTGATATCAGTCATGGTAGCAAGGTAGAATCCCCACCTTAGATATGATGTACATCAACATAATTTTGATGAGGAACATAAAGAAGAAGATGTTGCTTTAGGTGTCTCTTTACTCTAACATCTCCATCTATTTGAAAAGCTCTCCTGAAGCACCTCTAGAAACCAAAGGCACCACGTTGTCTTCCTGATCCCACAATCTTTGGGTCAAATTTCAACGTATCAATCACTTTCTGGGTACCAGCAGGACAGTAGAAATGTGTTACAGTATTCAATCTGTTTCTAGCAAGACCACTTTGTTTGATAATCTCAACACATATCATATGTTGATGGGATTCCAAATTTAGAAAGGCTTTCCTTTAGAGGAGGTGGGTGAACATCCTACCAAGACTTTAATGGCTTTAAGATGGCAAGGAAGTTCTGTGTCAGGGACAGAGGCATCATTTGGGCTGGGTTGAACCCTGAATGAATTAGAGAATTGACATGAGATAGAAAATATGGAAGGGCAAAGACCTCTGAAGTATGACAGCCATTCAATGTGCCTTTTTCAGATGCTCTTTGTTCATGCTGTCCTCAGCTTCAGCAACATGGTTTAAGGAACAAGGAATGGTGCAGCATAGGGAAAAGATAGTCAGACCTTTAACTTGGTGGATCTTCACAGCTTTCTCAAAAGCATTTTTCTTTGGTTGTTGGTGCCCTTTGAAGGTGGATAATTAACCAGGAAATGAGTAGATCCCATTGGAAAATCATAGCTATCCCATTAACAGGATCTTCTTTCCCCAATAAGTCATTTTGTCTAGAATACGGTTCTGATACCAAACTTGGAAGAGATGTTTGTTATAGTTTGTATATCAAATTCTTCCGAACTGAAGGGGGAGAATTAAGCTCTGCTCCTCTGGGTCTGGACACCCAAATTTTCTTGCATCTAATTCTAATCCAAATATCTTGAGGAATCAGGTCTTCCCTGAATGGAGGAGATCCCTAAAATTTCATCCTCCACTGTCCCATGGAGACCTCAAATAATGACTTTGTAATTTTACTTCTGAAGGAGCTCAGGGTTGACATGAGGGGTCCTTGGTGCTCGCTGAACTTGGTTGTTTCCTTGCAGACGTTTCATGACCCAATCACAATTGATAGTGATGTGATATGATCAGCACTGATGATGTTACCTAGTTTGGGTCATGACACATCCTGCAAGAAAACAACCAAGCTCAGAGATGTCCCAAATGTGGTCCTTTTTCTCCAACTGGACTTTGCTTTTCCTTGAAGATGTTTCGCTGAAGTGAAAGATTCCTCAGGCTCAGAGGGCACCAAAGACCCTCTACTCTTACTTCTTCCATGCATTTTCCAAGGACCATTGACTCACTTTGTGCCTTCATATTCTTTTCTCTCTCTCTTCTCAGCTGCACAATTTTTGTCTTCATGAATGCACCAAACCAAACACGAGTGACAGAATTCCTCTTCTTGGGTTTCTCCAACCTGCTGAGCTACAAAGCCCACCTTTTCCTGGTGCTGCTTGCTGCCTACTTAGCCACCCTGATGAGCAACTTCATGATCATAATCTTGATTCTCCTGGATTCCCGTCTCCACACCCCCATGTACTTCTTCCTCAGCCAGCTCTCCTGCTTNAAAATCTGTGGTTGTAAATGTAATTGAGAATATGGATGCAAAAACACTTGTAACCGAACGACATGCTGTATGTAATGGATGAGAATTTTTTTAATGTTGTTTTTTATGTTTAAAAATAAAAAAAAATTGTAAAAAAAAAACAAGCTCAGGGAGCACAAAGGAGCCTTCATGTTGATATTAGTTATCGTAACAAAATGGAATCTCCATGTCCAGACAAATATTATTTATCAACCTAATATTTGATGAGGAACATGAAAAGAGATAGTTTGCAAGAGATAGTGTCTTCAAAGGCATCTCCATCTACAGTACTTGGAAAGCTCTCCTGAAGCACTTTTAGAAACCAAAGGCACCACGTTGTCTTCCTGATCCCAAAATCTCTTGGTCTCTTTTCCATGTATCAATCATCTTCTGGAATGCAGGGAAAGGATCAGGTTCCACGTCTCAAATCTATTTCGTTATTTTCTCTTTTTTTTCAAATATATACAGCTTCCCAACTGACAGAATATATTAAAAATGCAATGTTAAAATTCACAGTTTAAATCACCACCCCAATGACAACCGAATCCAGAAAGCCACTTGATGGGCATTGAGTGGGAACCCCAGGCCCAATGGCAAAACCATTGTCTTCAAGATCTTCTGAAACCGTAATACGTTGAGAGTCAATCAGACCTCTGGGGAAATGAAATTCTGAAGGGTCATGATTTAACACATCTTTACTCGGCTGTTAATTCTAATGTCTTCCTTTGCCCAATTTTATCTTCTCAGCTAACACTTCTTCTCCTCTCGTGGATTCCCACAACCAAACACAGAGGACAGAATTTACCTTCCTGGCATTCTCCAGACTTCAAGGGCACCAGGTCCAACTTTTCTTGGTGTTCCTGGCTGCCTATTTGGCCACGTTGATGGGCAACCTCATGTTTATAACCCTGGTTCTCCTGGATTCCCGTCTCCACACCCCCATGTACTTCTTCCTCAGCCAGCTCTCCTGCTTGGACATCTGCCTTTCTTCTGTGGTGGTACCAAAGNAGGATCGAACTGCTGGCAGTTGGCAGAGTCAGCCTGCAATGCTGCATTCTAACCTACGGAGTCCTACGGGATTGGGCGGCATATAAATGTTATTAAACTCTATTAAACTCTAACCACTGTGCCATCACGACTTCCTTCCTTCCTTCCTTCCTTCCTTCCTTCCTTCCTTCCTTCCTTCCTTCCTTCCTTCCTTCTATTCCCACTTAGCAATAGCACTTAGATTTATATACTGCTTCACAGTGCTTTGCAGCCCTCTCCAAGTAGTTTACAGAGTCAGCATCTTGTCCTCAATAATCTGGGACCTCGGAAGGATGGAGCCAGCTGGGGGATTCTGGGAGTTGAAGTCCACAGGACTTCAAGTCTCCAAGGTTGAGAAACACTGAGCTAGAGTCTTGGTAGAAACAAAATGTCTTAAGAGTTTCTTTTTGTGTCTAACCTTGTGGGATGGTTGACAGTCTGTCTGCAAGGGAGATGGGCAGTTCTCAAATATAATCAATCAATCAATCAATCAATCAGCACCACTGTCAGATTCGGGTGAGTGTCAGGGTTCCAAATAGCATCCAAAAGCAAATCAGAATCCAAGGCAAAGTATTGCTCAAAGTTCCAATTGATGAAGAGAGCCACGTTGGCACATCTGGGAAAACCCAAATCTGAAGGCTTCCTGGATTTCCCCACCCAGTTGAAAGTTCAAGATCTCCCCCCGCAACACACACAACTCCACCCCATGGTCCCATCTCCCCCTGCCATGCTGGCAGTTCCACCCATCCAGTTCCGGTCAGGTGCAGAGACGAAGGATGACCTTGGCTTTCTAGAAAGAATTTTGTTATGGCTTCTTATTACCAAACTCCGTATAATCCCCCCTCACATTTTCCCACAATGGAAAATGCATAGTAGAATAATAAAAAGTGTGGCAGGCCAAAGATCCAAAAGAAAAAAATGGCTGCAGACCTGACAGCCGCTGTAACTTCAAAGACTGACTGAACAAATAATTATCATACTTGAGAGGGAGGAAGACTTTAAAATGCCTTGCCTAAAAAAATATATATCTTCTGAAGTCATTTCTAGAGCACCAGCTAAAAGCAAATGAGACAATTGATTTCAATTCAGATCTGGAAATGTTTCTTCTGCTTTTTTTCATCTCCGTTTCTCCCCATCTCTTGAATCTGACACAAGAAAACTGAGCTGCATCCTCTAACAGAGTGTTTCTCAACCTTGGCAACTTGAAGATGACTGGACTTCAACTCCCAGAATTCCCCAGCCAGCATTCGCTGGCTGGGGAATTCTGGGAGTTGANTGAAAGAGGGTGTATGGTGGGCTAAGGTGGTATATTGGGTTTGTATTGTAGGGGGCATTTTCTATAAAAGTGAGGGCTGTGTTTAATACCCAATGTTATATGCCTCGGTTATGCACAGTAAACATGTGATTGTATAGAATGAAATGGAAATAAAAAAGACTTGTGGAAGGCAGAATAGCAGAGTTGGAAGGGGCCTTTGGGGTCTTCCAATCCAACCCTCTTCTCAGTCAGGAAATCCCCTCCCATCCCAGGCAAATGGTTGTCCGATCTCTTCTTTAAAAACATCCAATGTTGGAGCATTCATAACTTCTGGAGGCAACTTCTGTTCCACTGATTAATTGCTGTAACTGTCAGGAAATTTCTCCTCAGCTCGAAGTTTCTTCTCTCCTTGATTAGTATCCATCCATTGCTTCTTGCCCGTCTTCAAATGCCTTGGAGAATAGGTTGGTCCCCGCCCCCATTCTTTGTATCAGCCCCTCAAATATTGGAAGACTACTATCATATCAACTTCTTTTCATTAAACCAGACATACCAAATTTCGGCAAGCATTCTTCATATGTTTTAACCTGTTCATATGTTTGAGAATGTCTATATATTCTACACGGCTGGCTCATATTTAAGGGATTGTCCACCAGGAGTCCAAGATCACTCTCACAGTTACTACAGTTTTCCCTTAATCCAGTGTTTCTCAACCTTGGCGACTTTAAGTCCTGTGGACTTCAACTCCCAGAATCCCCCAGCCAGCTATGCTGGCTGGGGAATTCTGGGAGTTGAAGTCCACAGGACTTAAAGTCGCCAAGGTTGAGAAACACTGCCCTAATCTGTATCCGCACATCTGGTTTTTCTTGCTTTAAGTAGAAACTTTAGTTTTCTCTAAAACGAATTTCATTTTGTAGCGCTTGGAAGCCCTGGATTTCTCTCCAAGCTCCAGGTCCCTTAGATGTTCAACCTTCCATAATGCTCTGAAGACATTTTTCCCAGGAGAGCTGAGACAAAACTGGATAATTGAGCATCAGATGTTTGACTGGACACCAAGTCTTGTTGCCTTTAAATTTTTAATGTGTTTAGTTTTATAGTTTTAATGCAGTTTAATGTATTTTTCAAACTTTTGATTGGCAGCTGTCCAGAGTTGGTTAGAAGATGGGGGGGGGGGTTATGTAAATGTTTCAAATAAATAAATAATAAGACATAAATAGTGTACAAGTATGCCTGTAATATTGAAATCCCCGTGTGATGATTTCCTGTGTTCCCTTCACAATCTTTGCTCAGCCTGAAGGCTTCCCAGGGGCTGCACGAGGTCTCCATGCTGGGTAGAAGAGGAATCATCCCAGGAAATGCATTTCACAAAACTCGCCTTATTCTTGGGCACATGAATAATAGCAATAGCAATAGCAGTTAGACTTATATACCGCTTCCTAGGGCTTTCAGCCCTCTCTAAGCGGTTTACAGAGTCAGCATAT